CCCAGAGTCATCAAAAGATGAATAAAATACCCTTCAGTCTTCAGCGATATCACCAAAGCCTTGGGAACCTTCAACATCTTTAGTCATCTAAGTCTTTGTCTGACTTCGACTGGACCTCTACCACAAGACAACAACGATCTGATACCAATCCGGAGCCAGAACATTGCCACATTGGGTACTGAGTGTCAACATTTAGGCGATATAACACATAGTCAGATTCGATATGCTGAGGTTCAGATGAAATTGCATGCTAGTCCTGTCTTCGGTCCTTTAACGGTTAAGGCTCAGAAGAAATTGCATGCTAGTCCTGTCTTCGGTCCTTTAACGGTCAACCCTATCCTCACGACCTATGGACCTCTTTCCAGTCAAGATCACTAGGTTCGATTGGACTACACTCTGGGCACAATATCCTATGGTCTGCTGCTTCAACGGGAGAAGCTAACAAACACGCTGAAAGATCTAGACATCAAACACCCAGCTATAAAACAAAACTTGAAAAATACCTTATCGACGGATAAAACTTTCAAATCCATTTCGAATGATCTGCTTCAGTACGTGTGCGGGAGAAAAGCAGAGATTATCGAACAGAGAAGTAATGGACTCCTTCCAAAAGAAGAATATCAAGCAGCTCTTCTTGGTGCAATTCCCCCGTCAACAACCTACCCTTTCTGCAAACACGGCTAGCAGAATTACTGAAACAGACACTTCAGTAAACCTTTTTTCGCATCCCCCACAAAAAATGTGCAACCTAAAAACTGCAATGCGCCACTATCTAGATCAACTTATAAAGTCTCAAAAATGTCGAGATCATTCAACCGACTTTAAAAACCAAATATCGGTAAAACGAACAAAACCTTCAAGCGTTCGTTCAGAACCAGAAATAAAGATCAAAGCCAACGAACGACATTTTCAGATGAGGGCGACTCTTGTCGATTGTAGAGGTCTGGATGAAAGAGGAAGTGTCATTAAGCATCTTACAAATAATAAAAGGTTACACTATGCCCTTATGCCCGTATTATACGTGGTAGTCATGCTGCAGCTATATTATGGTTGTAGCACGAATGGGTCGGCTCGACCGCGTAAGGACCACGCTCTCACAGAATACCAGCGTAAAATAGTAGATTAACGCTGCTGTGTTTCGTATGGTGAGTGTGGAGAACCGGAGACCCTTTTTAATGGAAACGAAGCATTCCATCTTAATCCTCACAGGTGACAACGCATCTGCATTTTCAGATGCAGATGTCTATGGGCCACAGCAACCACTTACCATCAGATGGACTGCGTGCTCGTTTGTCTCCCTTAGCCTATAAAAAAATCCCGCTAATGCCTTTTCACCCGGAGATACAAAAATCGAAACAAAAATTTTAAATCAGAGATTCGGACCATAATACACCAAAAGGTTATAGAAAATTTCTCGATTCAGACAGCTTTCTTGTCAACTATGTTCCCAGTTCCAAAATCCAACAACAAAGTATGACTAATAGCTATCTGAAATGCCTAAACAGATACCTTACTTCGAAAAAATCGATTTTCTCATGAAAATCGATCAGGCATTCTTCCACATCCCATTAACCAATTGTCATCGAAGAGTTCTGTCAATAGTTCATTAAAATAAGGTTCTATAATTTACATGCGTCCCGTTCGGTCTATAAACGGCACCTCTAACTTTCGCAACAGTGTAAAATTGGATAGCATCACGATTAAAATAGATGATCATAAAAGTTATTGTGTACCTCGACGACTTTATGCTTGCAAACCAAGATCCAGAGAAAATGCAAACGACGCCAACATGGCAGTACAATATCTTGTCAAACTAGGTTGGATAATCAATATGGACAAATTTCTACAAAGCCCATCCCAACGTATTGAGTACCTAGTAATAGAATGGGACACAATTCACAATACAAAAGCACTCCCGTAAAAGAAAATATCATCCCTGAGAAAGATCTCAACAAGATTCTAACAAGTCAAAGATGGAGTTGGCAGTCCGCAAACCTCCTGGTAATACTTAATTCCAGGGAGATACAACGAACAGGTAACATTTTGCCAGAAGATTTAGCCCGGTAGAAGTTTCCCATTCCAAGAAAAGCATTCCAACAATGCCATTGGTGGACTCAAATTCTATAAGAGAAAGACACTCTTTTCCAGATCCTCCGAAACTATATTCATCACATCAGATGCCTCACGCAATGGCGCAGATAAATGGGAAGCACATCGGCGTTATCTGGGTTATTTTCTAGTCTCGATAACATGTCAAAGAAAGAACTATTTGCAGCAATTCTAGCAATTCGTTCCGAGAAAGATTCAATAAAAAACAAGAGTTGTCGTAGAGTCAGAAAATCAAACCGTAATAGCACACATAAAGAATCAAGGCGGAACAAGATCACTACAGCTGACAGAGCTGATCTCTCAGTTGCTGATAATGGCCAAGAGGTTATATGCGGAAATCTATCCCCAATATATACCGGGGATATACAACGACGTGGCCGACAGACTGTTTCGGCAGATGCATCTATCGGACTGGCATCTAGCAAAGAAAATTTGAAGCTGAAATCAGAAGTGGGGTATTCCTGACTTGGACTTCTTTGCATCGAGCAATTCAAAGGTAGGCTAGTTTATTTATCTCGGGATGCAAAGGACAAAGAAGCTTTATTTATATATGCTCTCAGCAAGAGATGGGTGTTCAAGTTGGCATGGATTTTTCCACCACCGTTCCTAATTCCTCGAGTGCTAGCCCATCTGAATCAGTCAAAAGTACATAAAGGTTACAGCCTATATACACGTCCCACGCTGGGCATAGGCCTCCTCTCATTTCTGAGAGGGTTTTAGGGCAAGGAAAGGTCCGCCGTGCTGCCCCAATGCGTGTTGGCGAACTTCACATGTCTTCTAAATATATTTTTTATTTCTTATTTGCCAGACATGCAGGTTTCCTCACGATGTTTTCCTTCACCGCCGAGCACGTGGTAAATCAGCACTTAAAATTGCAATTAACAATTCATTGGTGCCGGCGGGGATCGAACCCGGGTTTCTCGCGTACTGTGAAACTTACAGCGAGCGCTAACCATCTGAGCTACCACGGCTCTTATAATAATAATAATATAATAGTATAATATAATATAAGTACATACATTCTGATTATTCCAAGCTGGGAAAGGCTATTTTGGAGGTCGGATCTACGGTCACGTGTGATAGATCACCAATTTCAAATCCGAAACCTCCAACATCACCTGAAAGACCTAACACCCCCAAACAAATTTAACGAAAGTCCGAAACCTGTGTTTGGAAGCTTGAAAAGTAGGGGGTGGTCGATTTTAGCAAAGAACTGGCCAGAAGAGGACTGCCACCTAATACAAAAAACATGCCGTAATTCATCGTTTATAACATATCGAGCACCATGGAAAACATGAATAGAAAGGTGTTAATTGCGGGGTCTTAACCCAACAAGCCGGGCGCAGCCTCAGTAGCACAACACTTAAGTTTTCTACACTAAGAGAATGTGCAAAATAATAATTAAAAACTCTTAATATATAAAAAAGGGACTCCCATTCGACCTTCTTGCATCACAACATGCCACAAAAAACTTTAGTAAATTTTGGAAGGAGCGGACTACAATAAATGTTCAACTTGTAATGATAAACAAGTTCTAGTTTTTCCCAAACCTTAATAATCAAGTTTTTTTTTAAAATAAAGAATATTAGTGTTATATTCATGACTAATATTTCCCAGAAAAAAGTACAACAATGGGCTTATTGTTGTCTTTGTCGTCCCAGTTATAGATCCTGCAACCTTTCGGATCGCAGAAACCGATTAATCATTGCACTATTAAGACTATAATTAAATGTTACAGGTTGTGGATGTTGAGTGCCGCATCATTAACATCAATGCACGATATCCAGGGCGAGTCCACGATCAATAGACCGAATATGATTTGAACCGAATCCGAACTTCGGCCGAACATTCGGTCCAAATGAAATGTTCGGCCGAAGTTCAGCCGAATTTCGGTTCATTTTCGCGCGTTTTCTCGAGAACGACGCGTCGTGACTTGTTTACGCATTTACTTCAAATACCCCGCCCGCACACCGCACTCCCTCCGCGTACCCCGAGCCGGCCGGTCATTATCAAATCCGTCACGACATCAGCGCGTGTCGCGTGCGATTGTAATCAACAAAAATAGTTGTTTTAAGTGGATTGACGAGGTTTTAAGTAATAAGTTTTGTTACTGGCTTATTCCAAAAATGAGTGCAAGGAAAAAATCTAGTGTTTGGACATTTTATACAGAAACTGATCAACCAAATAAAGTGAAATGTATCCTATGTGATTCGCTGATATCTCGTGGTGGTAGTGGACGTTCAGCGTCTACTTCTGCACTGACCACCTTCGTGTGAAGCATGATCGAGAATACACACAATTACAATATCCCATTCATTCGCCAAATCCAATCCTTCCTTCAGTAAGACCTTCATCGTCGAATACTACTGAAGAGTTGCCCGCAGCGGAGTCATCATTACGTCAAGCGACCATTGAGGGCACATTTGAAACTAAGTGGAAAATGACTAAAGTGGCTAAACAAATTCACAAAGCCATAGCAGAAATGATATGTGTGGATAATCAACCTACATCTATTGTAGAAGATGCCGGATTTAATCGGTTGCTAGCCATATTAAAACCAAAATACCAGATGGCCAGTCGAAAATACATTACTGAAACAGTGATAGTTTAAATGTATGAACAATTAAAAAAGAAGATTTTCAACCAACTATCCGAAGCTAAAACGATTTCAGTTACAAGCGACATGTGGACGTGCATCAATAATGCAGTGCTGTGTTTTTTAAGTTTTACTGTTCACTGGCTTGACAACAATTTTGTACTGCAACATGGGATGCTGAAAATGAAATCGTTTTCAGAGCAGCATACAGCGCATAATATCCAGTGTGCTCTAGAAAAAATAGCCGAGTCATGGAATATCTCAGACAATTTTGGCCGTTATCAGTGACGATAACATGTATTTACATGTTATCGTCACTGATAACGGCCTCAACATTGTGAAAGCCGTAAATGACAGTTGTTTTGAAGGAAAAACGTGCTTCATTCATACTTTGCAACGAGCAATTCATGGTGGTTTAGACGCGCAGGAAAGAATTAATGAAGCAATAGCGGCAGGGCGTCGTATAGTGACTCATTTTAATCACTCACAACCGTCTCAAGAAAAATTGCAGCTGATACAGACTGAGCTCAATGTACCCAAGCACAAAATTATTCAAGACGTCAGCACCCGCTGTAAAGCACCTTATATATGGTTAAAAGGTTACTGGAGCAAAAGAGAGCGATTTCGTTGTACATCTCTGACAACAGTAACACAATAAATAAGACAGAGAGACAATGGGATCTTCTGAAAGAATATCTTGCTTTACTTCAACCTTTCGAAGAAATCACAAAAAAATGAGCTCTTCCTACTCCTGTATATCAGAGGTCATTCCTAACTTGACGATTCTTTCGAAGTATTTGATCAAAGAAAAAGTTAAAGTGGCTTGTTCTAATATAAACACAATGCGTTCGTCAGTAAAAGAAGGACTGGATAGACGTTGTCAGGGGATTGAAGATCAGTGCCGTCTTTAAGGCAGGGCCCGCAGGGCCCTGGCCCGAGGCCCCGAGGTAGGCAGGGGCCCCACAATTCTGAAAATTTTCGATATACAACAACAAATTTTATAACATAATAAGAAAAATGTCAAACCACACACTTGGTAAAATAGAAACAAGATTTAGAAAATTTGTTTAAAAATTTATTTTTGCACTAAAATAACAGTAATTATATACAGCTTAAAAAACTTTTTTTCTCGATTTCTTCGCAGCAAAATTAGATATGAGTTCATCAAAATCAATCGATTTTAATAAGTCCGATTCTATACTCATTAAACTTAGATGATTCAATCGTGACTGTGACATTGTGCTTCGATGATCGGATTTTATCAACTTTAATCTAGAAAATGATCGTTCACCAGCACAATTGGTGATCATTAGGGTAAGGAATATTCGGAGACTTATTTCAATATTTGGGAATGTAGACGTCAGAAATTCTTTCTTCAGTTGCAAGTATAGATCAGGAATAAATAATTCTTCGTTCTTTCGTGTATCACGAAGATAATGTTTATAATGTAAACATTCTGATATTAAATTTTCTGCAGAAATGTCTTGATCATATTTTCTGGCAAGCTTTTCGCAGCATTCTTTTATTCCTTCGTATGTCATGTTTGGTAGAGCAGTAAAAAACTTGAAGTTATCATTCACCGTTTCGTAAGCAGTTTTTCTGGTTTTCAAATTGGAACAAAGTGAATCGATTATCGGATAAAAAATCTCTATTTTGAGCTTTTCATCTCCAGTAAATTGTGTATGTTCACTCTCTCCTTCAAAGCGAGTAAGTTTTACGCTTCTTCTTCGATTTCTTGGCTCAGATGTAGATTCACTTTCGCAGATATCAGTAAAGCTTTTTGCTTTTTCTAAAAACTCATCGAATTTATCCCTGATATCCAATAAATACAATTCTAAGGAATTTAAAAGACTGCATGCTATATACAAATCCATATTTTCTTTTTGTAAATTTTTAGATGTATCATTAATACGTGTCAAGATTTCGTGCCATACCACAGTTATAAAGACATTTTCAAATTTTGTAATTTGCTTTAAAATGGTCTTAGCTTCAAGTCTAGTGTCTCGTTAGACTGCGTATCATCCTTTGATAAATCATCTAGAGCTTTCGTAATATCTGTATGACCTGTGAAAAGAGCGATGATTGCATCAGCTCGGGCTGACCATCGAGTAGCGGATAAAGATTTAACGACTTTTTTTTTCGTTCCTAAATATGACAATAGTTTTGCCATCTATAAGTCGATCCTGATAAAAATGTGTACAAATTTTGTACGATATAGAAATACTTAACGACTGCATTAACACATTCAGCTGCCTTAACGCCGACTAAATTTAACGAGTGCCCGGCACAAGGAATATAATCAGCATACTTATTGATTTCCCTTATCCTGGTTTGCAGTCCTGAATAGCGTCCAGACATATTCGATGCGTTGTCATAAGATTGACCTCTACAGTCATTTATATCAATATCATTATCTTTAAAAAATTTGACTACAACCTCTGTTAAATATTCGGCATTATGACCTCCTATAGGAACGAACATTAAAAAACGTTCGATAGGCCCCTGATCGGTAACGTAGCGCACGGTGAACGTTAATTGATCTAGATGAGTGATGTCCGGCGTAGAATCCACAGAAAAAGAATAATATTTTGCCTTCTTCAACTCACTTATAATGCAAGCAAGAACTTTTTCCCCCATAAGGCCTATAAATTCCTCACAAATATTAGCTGATAAGTATGATGTTACTCCATGTCCTTTATTTCCGTAGGTATTAATGTGCTCTTTAAGGAAAGGGTCATATTCGCTCAGTAATTCTAAAATACCTAAGTAATTGCCATTTTGACTAGATCCGAATCGTTCGTTCTCCCCTCGAAAAGCGAGACCTCGTGAAGCAAGAAACTTTATAGTGTCAGTTATTCGACGTAATACTTGAATCCAATAATTTTTCTCATTTTTTTGTTGAATCGTTAATGCATTTTCTAAACTACCAGTTTCTCTTCTCCGTTTAGAATAAATAGTTAAAGTTTGTTTATGAGCTTTGCTTTGCTCATGCTCCGTAATTCGCTCTGGGTGTTTCCAATCATTAAATCCGTAAAATGTAAATTGATCTTTTTCAGATGAAAAAAGTCGACATACAAAGCAATATATACGTCCAGTTGATGGCGAATACGATAACCACTCACGCTCTACTATTTCATTATTTTGTAGTTTCAATTGAAATAATGATTTGTTTAGAGTTCTCACTTTTTGTTTATCTCCTTCTTGGTAAATCCGTGCAGATTTTGAGAAATCTTTATCCTTATTGCTGCATAAACCTGGATTTTTTCGCAACCAGTATAATCGTAACTTCTCGTTGATTTCGCCCCATAACGCAATATCAGTCGAATAACTTTCAATTTTTTCTGACGTGCTTCTCAATGCTGCCTCCTCTATTAAAATAAAATATATTTTTGTAAATCGCTTTTAATTGAAAAAAATATTTAAAATTATTCAGCTTTTTTAGAATCTAAATATTTACAATTTGAAACTCTTTATTTACCTTCTGTTCTATGATTTATAAGAACTTGTGTAGCTACTGATAATTCCGACTGTTCTGAAGGATTCAAATCGACTGATTCGTTTTGAATAACATTTTCCTGTAAATCAGCGGTACCTTTTGGCGTTTCATCATTTTTGCCTAATAAATAAAATGCAATGATCTTATTATCATACTGTTAGCACGGTTTGTTTCATAAATTAATTTCATAAAAATGATATTAAATCGACTTTTCATAAAAAAACTTTTGCTACATGCGAACAACAATGAGGTTATAGGACTCAATTAATGAACTAATCACTCTTAATTCAAATAATATATAGTATTACTTACTAGTAATGTCATCTTGTTTTAAAAATCCAGTAATTTTTGGTAACTTGTCTATTTTCTTTTGTTCTTCTTTCGCTTTTCGTTTTTTTGCAGCACCACTTTCATAAACACGATTCATGATATTGATGTACTTCAAATGATTCGATAAACAATACTAAATTAACTGTTGCTACATCGCGTGAAAATCTGGTAATGAACCTGCTGGCTGTTTCACATGTCGAAACACGGACGTTGACTATTCATTTTCTCACCAAAAACAAAAGCAAGCTTAAACAAGTTTCTTTCAAAACAATCGCGCTTCTGCTTGCGCGCAAGAGCGCGCATGCGTAAGAATCCGAATGAAGATTTTGGCGCGTTAGTTTGAATATTGTAATTGAGAAAACGTTTACATGGCATAAACATTACATTTAATCGTTTGTTTAAAGAAATTAAAATATACGAAAATTGTAAATTGTAAGAAATTAAATGTATGCATGGCTAAAATTACGGGTATTTAAAACAAAGCAAATAAGTTAATTGTAAAGTAAAAATGAATTAAGAAATAAGTTGAAATGCCAAGTGTTCGTTTGAGAAGCCATTGAGAACTGAGGTCGATCCGGAACGACGAAATATTGTAGTCCGATCTAATACAGCGGGGACAGTTTACGGCACTTCCTCGAAGAAAAACCGATAGCCCTTGTTTATTAAACAAGATTCGGCGCAGCATCGCGCTGTAGTTATAGACTTGGTATGCAGTGGCTCGCTAACCAATGCTGTTATAGGCTATGATGTCACGGATGACGTCACTTTCATATATTTGTATATGAATAAATATAAGTATTGTTCTTTGTATAGATTATAATATATGGTTTTCATTCATTTTTATTTAAATTAGAATTGGTGGGGTATTAGTTTTTTAGATTCAAAAAATTTATTTATTGAACTCTCATATGTGGGGTGTTAAGAGACGGGGTTACGATTTAGCCTATTGCGTTATTGTAAACTGAAAAATGATAAAGTTAAAATTTAAGGATTTTCCATCCCTTACATAGGCCCCAGCCAGTACCTTGGCCCATAGCCTCGTTGATCCTAAAGACGGCACTGTTGAAGATGACACGTACTATAGTCTAGCAACAATGCTAGATCCACGCTACAAAATGAATTTTTTTACATCACATAATGTACCAATGATCAGACGAACTTTCCTGGCGGAATTTGTAAGAAGGAGCGAGGATATTGGGTCAAGCAGTGATAAAGAAGTTGTTCAGGCAGCACAGAGATCCACGTCATCATCCAATTGTGAAAACACACACAGAACGTTCTGGAGCTGCTACGAGGAACTAGCAGCAATAAAGTTACCGATAGATGTAGAAGAAACCAAAAATCCGATTGCGTCAGAGCTAGACAGATATCTCAGTGAAGTTCTGCTACTCAAAAGACCTATGTCCATATGGCTGGTGGGCTAAGAATAAAGACAAGTTCCCTAATATGAGTTGTTTGGCTCGAATATACTTGTCGTGTCCCGGAAGCTCTGTATATTCTGAGCGGCTTTTTTCGGAGGCAGGAAACATATACGAAAAAAAACGTAACAAACTTCTGCCAGATAAGGCAGAGTCTTTGTTTTTGCACCATGACCTGCCTCTAGTAAATTTTAAATATGAATAGATAGATAAGAAAAGTTGGTTTAATATGATTGTTGAAAAAAATACCCTTTAATTGTAATAAAAAATACTTGAGATTAATGAATGTTGAATCAAAAACGTTATTTTTTTATTTAATTTACGGACTCCAATCCAGATGTTTACTAGGAGAATACAAAGTTTATTTCATTTTTGTAATAGTATGTCTAATTATTAATTAGGCAGGGAGATCTAAGATTAAGAACCAATTAACTAAGATTAAGGTTAATAATAAGATAAGAACTGATTTAATATAAGGTTTACATTTACAATGTTCCTAAATAAATAAATAAATAATTGATCATGACTCATGAGTGAGTGAAAATATTATATCTTTTGTTTTACAGTAACTAATGTTGTTATATAAAGTGCTTCTAAAATATATGCCACGGTTGTTTGTATGCAGACTTGGCCAATCAGCTGACCGATTTCCATACAAAGTGCAATTTTTTTTGAAAATTTACTATGGGTTCCTTGGGGAAAGTGGTTCAGTATCATGAGTAGAACCACCAGTTACAGCCATGGCATATTGTAATTTAGAAGCACTTTATATTTCAGTTAAAATAAGTGCAAGTAGGTATTATTTTTCTTGTACTGAATTTCGGCATCTGAACCGAATTTTGGCAGCTTCAACCCAACTTCGGCATTCGGCTGCCAAAATTCGGTTGAACCGAATGTGAACCGAATTTCGGCCCATCTCTAGTTTATATTTAACAATTCAAAAGTTAAATTGGAAATGAAACGTCTGTATGAAAGTAGAATTGGTCAATACTATATTTTAGGTATAATGTTTTAAATTACATTTTCAAACTTATAAAGTTACAATTCAAAATTTTTAATTAAAAAATATTATGTTAATTCTTTAGCAAATCTTCTTTCCATCTAAAGCCTAAACTGCATAATATTAGGAATAAAAAAAACACAAGACACGTTAGCATACAATTGTTTATTCTTTGTTTTATTACATAATTCATTTTTACCATTATTAATACTTTGTTTATTTTTCATGGTCAATTCTCTTTAAAATTTAATCTTTGTGAAAATCTGAAAAGACAATAACAAGCATTAATTGCCACCTATATTATAATACAACATTAAAAGAAACAATTATTTTACAGGAACTCGGGCTATGCCTTAGAGCCTTGGCTGATGACTCCAGATTTGGAAGCTGCACCAAATAGTTCTGCAGAAAAATTTAACAAATGACATTGCCAAGTGAGAAACTGTGTGGAAAGAACTAATGGGTATCTCAAAGGCACATTCCGAAGCCTAGGCATTTACGTGGTACTCCACTACAGTCCAGAGAATGCTTCACAATTAATATATGCTTGTGCAACACTATACAATATCATGCTACATTATAAGTGTATTATATTATATTATATATCACACAGATAATTATTATTAGAATGTTTGTTTACTTTTGATAAACATTATTAATTTAATTTGTACATATATTGCAGAATTCCAATGGAACAACCAATGGACAACTTATGTGCAACAAGTGAAGAGAGCAATCCTCTCATCACATCTCTGGATCAAACGAGGCTGTTGACAATTGCCCGACAAAAAAGACAAAGATTAATAAATACATACTTCAACTAAAATTTATTTGTATGATTACCTTTTCATCCTTTTGAGTTTATTCTGTGTACGAAGCAATTGATTTTGTTCACATAAAAGGTTGTTGCGCTCTTTGAGCCTTTCATGTATACTCTGAAAGATAAGGTCAAATTTATATTGGACTGTAGCAAAAAAATATTAAATATTAATATTAATCTGGAAGGGAATTATAGTATTCATGCAATTAGTAATGAAATAAAAAACAATTGTTACTTGTAAATATGCATTATTTTCTTATTGGAGGCGAATGAATGTATCATGCGATCGCTCCTTTTTATTTTGGGCTGTGGGATAGCTAGTGGAAGTGGCTAGATGGCTTGTGGAAGTGGCCGGATGGATCGTGGAAGTGGCTGGTGGAATATTTTCCAACTCGTCAGGAAGTCTTAACAAATTTAATTGCATATCATGCTCCACCACCGACGCTTCAATGATTTCCTGCTATAAAATTAGAAACATAAGCTTCACATGCTTTCAAAGACAAAGTTACACAAGACAAAATATTGTGCTATTGTTTGCCTGGCCTATTGAAGACTCTTCAGGCCCAATACCGGTAGAAGACTCATACCTAATAATGCTTAAAACTTTTGTACCCACTTCGAATACAATCGGTACTGTTACTGAATTTCCCGTGGTGCTGTGTCCACGAGCTGCCGCTGCATTCTCTGTACGCGCACCCTCTTTTAAATCTTTTCAAGTCTGCAAATAAAAGAATATTTAAATTCCTACTACTTTCTCGCCGTCAAAATTAGTGTATATAATTTTAATTTTGTGTGCTTACAGAATTTACCACGAAAATGTAATACGTTATGGACTAACCTACTTCCACTGATCAATTGTTCTGTATACATACATAGTCTTTTAATATTTCCTTGAGAATTTGCCACTGCGAGTCTGCCCTTTTGGCTCCTAAGGACCCTGTGAACTTTCCAGTGGCAAGGTGGTTGGTTGTGAGTCGACATAAACTCGACCAACATATTACATTGTGTTTTGTTATTCTTGATCTGAATGAAATAAAAGAACTGTTAAATAATTGGCGATAAATATAGACGAACAGGTTATAAAATAGTATGAATTATTTGTAAACAGAAAGATTTGTAGAGAAAATTAAATGTTTACATTTCGCTTTCTTAAAGCAATACTTACTTTACAACATTTTATGTGATAGTGTACTTAATTTTTAGCGTTCATTTTAATATATTCACCTCTCCGTTTAAACTTGATTTGACGAAAACGAAAATTGCGCTAACCTATAATTCTTATTAATTAGTTTGTGACTTTGTGATGAAAACTTTTAAGTGTTGAAACCACGAGCACAGATAAAAAATAATAATTTTGTGACTTAAGGTCTCTTCCCACTACACCGTATCATGCCATGACCGTGCTAGGAACGTGTCAGGCTGAACAGGTTCCTATAAGATCTAGTTACTTGCACTCGCGTTTAGGTAATTAAAACACGGAAGTACGATAAAGAGAAAGTCAAACTTATTAAATTAAAGTGGACCCTATATTAAATTACAATAATACTATGCTAGCGCGCTGTACCTTACTACTAGCGCCATATAGTGACGGCGGGTGAAAACATTTTGACAAATTATAAATAACACTATGATTTTTGGTTCAACATCCCGCCCACCAAGAACGTATCTGCGTTCTTCCTATTACCGCCCACCGTGAGGTCAAGGGGGTACATACAATAATCAAAATATAGGATAAAAGGTAAAGTATATAAAAAGTAATAGGTTAAGAATGATAGGGTCAATCAAAATATACAATACTTACAGACAGACAGTATCAGTTTGTTACTGATAAAACACAAATTTTAGACGTTGGTCTCTTT